AAGGATTGGACAATGTGTTTTCTGTTCATGGACATCAGCTAGAATAGCTATGTTAGTGGATTGGAATAGTCGGTTAATTTGTATAACTATCTAGTAGTATTTGCATTTGAAAACGTTGTAGAAAGGCCTACTTTATTGTTTCTTTATGTCAATAGGCACGTGTCTAGCGTGTTTGATTCGATTAGTTTATTTATTAAGACGGAAGTTTCAACCGAACTTGTCACAATGTTTTTATTAGTTTGCTTTGACTATTTCATAATGTTCAACAAATCGTAAATTTTTTATCGAGTCTACCGATGTCCGAAGAGTCTAAGATGTTACTAATAAATTATTAATTTGGGTACAGCTTGTTTATAGAACTTACACTTTAAGTTCTTCACTAATTACATTGAAACAGGCTGCTTTAATTTTTTTTTTTTCGAATTGTATCTTCATGGATCTATGAAGTTTTCGTTGAAGTAACTAATTTCTTTTTCCCGCTTCACTTGCAAGGAATCCATTTTATTTCCAGTCTTCTCCAAGCATGATTTTTACGAAATGATGCGCATTGGAAAAAAAAAAATAGTGAAAATGTTAGAAATTGCTGCATTCAGTTGTAGCCGACGCCTGGTAATTCATTATTAGTACCTTCCTCGTCTCTGTTCGATCAAAAAAGAAAATAAAATTGTTATTTTCCACCAATGATTGTTTAATTTGTGGTGCTATATATGTTAGTATAGGTGAGACAACATTTCTGAAGATAGGTATCAAATATTTATTACTCCCTATACCATAAAATTATAATTCAGTTTAGACTTTTACTTTTTAATTTAATATGTACTAAAAATGAAAATCTAAATTGGATAATAATTTCGGGACAGAGAGATCGAGTATTCTTTTTCCATACGAAGCTAGCAAATAAAAAGAGTGGTCTTTTAATCATCCTTTACAGGCAGTAAGCTCAACCATCAAAAAGGATCCAGAAGTTTGTCCTAAATTAAACCGTCATATGACTGCAGAATTGCTTGAGAGATGAAAAGGAAATCAAACATTATCATTTCCCCAACCCCAAATAGGCCTTCGCAAAAGGTCACCACCGATTCAATGACTACTCTAAAACAATTGATTTCACAGAACAAAAAGGAAAAGACAGTGATGAAGACGAAGTTGGTGAGATTGCTGACGGGCTGGAAAATTACAGTTAGGGAGCACTCATAAAAAGCAGTCCTTTGCATTAGGCAACCGCCGCGGTATGGCTGGATACCGACGGAGGTGGCGAAGAGTAACCGGGAATTTAAACACTGCTGTAAAGTCGCCGGAAAGTTTCGGACATTCGCCGCCGCAAGCATCACCGAAAGAAGTATCAAAATATTTATTTTCTTCTCCAGAAAACAATAAAAACGAAATGGTTTCGCGAAGTGAATCATGGTAATAAAGATACTATTTTCAAAGTAATGCAGTACACAAATCGTGCTTAGTATGTGCAGTCTTATGTTGACTCGCACGGAAGTTAATTTGGAACCATGAACATGAACATGAGCCTTAAAATGCTAAAATTATCACTACCCCGTCACATTGAGTTTTGGATTTTTTATTTTAAGATAGAAAGAATATTATTTAAAAATTCAGCAAAAGAAAGTCCAACACTTACATATATCCAATTAATCCAAGACTCCAAATTAATAGTCATCTGATTCTTTTCTCTTTTAAATGGAGTACTCGAGACAATAGTGCACGTTTCCTGCACCATTTTTGTCTGCATAGTTTGAAAATTTGAACTCTTTATTAAAGTGTTTCACTTTTGTATGTGGGTTGCTATTAAGCGCTATTTTTCGAATACGCATTAATATTTGTGTTGTTTTAAATTTGAAAAGTCATTATTTTATTCTCGTGCAAGATTGGTGCAAATTATATCGAACCTGCTTTCAGCTCAAAGATCCAGAATGAAGAAAATGGCTTTACGTCGCTTTACATTTCTGCAATTGCGAAATTTTACAAACTTAACAACATTTTAATGTGAATTTAACGGGTGTAAGGCCTCCCTAAAATTCTAATCACTTTTACGTAATTGATAGTAACTTTTATTGCAAGATTTTTACTTTTTTTTTTGATAATTTCTAATTACAAGAGTTTTACTTGTAATAAAAGTAGCATTTTTAATTGCTTTCCGAGTAGGATTTAAAGTTTAGTTATTTTAATATTTTTCTAAATTCAATTTGGATTTCCTTGAATTTGGACTTTGCTATGTAAAGCCCCGTTTATCCTTATAAATAGGGGTATTTGGCCGAATTTTTAATAAGTGTGATTTGATGAATTTTGATGATTATTTAATAAGAACGAGTAAAGTTCTTTTTTGTGTTAATCTTGGTGATTAACTCTTTCTGTGTATAAGCTTGGATTTGGTTATTTGAAACTGCACGGATACCCTTATTCAAAATTTGGCGTTTCTCAACTTGGATATTGAGTTCGTGGTCCTTTGGAACAAATCGATACGTTTCTATCGCGATATGGAAATTTAATTGACACATTCTAATAGGATTCGTTACGAAACACTTCTTCCATCTCTTTGTCTATCATATTTTATATTTTCTATTCGATTTATCCTTGAATCAAAGAAGAACATCATTTGCATTTGTTCCTAAACTGACAGAACGAAAAAGAGTCGGCGGCGATCACATACAGTCACGCAGTAGAGTTGAGAAAAACCCAGCAATCCTCCTCCTCTTCTTCCTCCGCCACCGCCAAAAAAAAAAAAGAAGAAAGAATTCACCGCCGACCGCAAAATGTTGGCGCCAGACAACAATGCTGTGGGTCACTGGTTGTCTTGGCGACTTATAGGTGGAACAGGAGTAAGTCTTGATACCGTAATTTGAAACAAACATTCGCAATTTTAGAGTCGTGCTTTGTTGGATCGAAAGATTCATATCATATTTACTTTGTGGTTCTTCTATTCATTTTTATATGTATTTCTATAGAATTTAATCAAAACTAAAAAAATATTAACTAATATAAATAAAATACAAAAAATACTCTTATTTAATGTTCACACAACTGATCACAAACTAATAAAAGTTCATTATAAATATTGTTTCATTTTAAATGTAAAGATAATTTTGATAAAAAAGGGGTTAAATGTTACTCAATTTACAAAAATGATATATTTTATATTTAAAAAATCCACCAAACCCTATAACGATTATAATATCTAGTAAATCAATTTATTTGTGCTCGATCTCCTAGAGGAAAGCGGTTCCGTATAATTCTGAAATCGAAATATTCAATAAAGGCAAAAATGAGAAGGGTCCAAAGAAAATGCCAAAGAAGAAGAACACATTTCTTTTTCTTTCACCTTTCTTTTCTTTTTCTTTAAGGAAAAGAAATACAAAATTCCACACTAATGGGGTCTATTTCGGTTCTCTCAAAAAAATAAAACAAAAAAGAAATTCATAAACAAGAAGTAAAAAGATTGACTTCCGGTAGGTCACGTGTTATGCACGAATTCCCCTCTTCAATTGCCTGGGAGGTGATGACTATTTGAATTTGTTCGTTAAAGCCTAAATCCAATTTTGCTGCCATACACACTGTGATTAATATTCTTACTTGTTCGTGACACTGTTTGATTTTTTGTTTTCTTCTTCTTCATGACTTCTACTAGAAAGCGTTCAATTGCAATTGACAAATAGAGATTACAATTATTACTATATTATAATTGACTATAAAAATTGCTGGCTAGCACATTGCACGTAACAATATTTAATTAATTTATACATTATCATTTGAATCTTAGGAAACTAAGAAATTAAAAAGAGATGAGGTCATGCTCAATATTATTACCCCCAAGAAGTAGTAACTTGGAACGCACGGAAGTAAAAGAGGAGATTAATTAATCACTGTTTTTGACACTAGATGGAGGCACCTGAAACCGTATGGTGAACCTGAAACCGTATGGTGAACCTGAAACCACCCCAAAAACAATGGGAGCCACTGCCCAAAAGAAACAAATCAAATCACATCAAAACAATGCTGTAACATTTGGTGGATACAATTAAATTTTATTTTACTTTGTTGAACTAATAAAAGTAATATTGAATTTTCTGGAACATATATAAAAGTAATTGAGGTTGCCGAAGACATCTAAAATTAAGACATCTAAAATTAATAACAATAGTTGTAACATGTACTACAATATAATTAATATCACCATTGAAATGATACGCTTTTCCTAACATAATTTCTTGTCTCGATAATGAATTTTTTTTCTTTATTTTTTTACAAAAGAAATAAGCTTAAACAACATTATGTGTACACAAAATTATTGTTCAAAGTATACATTTTTTTTTTCGTGAGGCCGTACATATTAGTGTTTAAAAAGGTCTTTAAGCTATTAGTCAACTATAACAAGGTAGAGTTTATTGGGGAAAAGTCAACGTAAATCATGATTGTAGAGATGAGGAATGAACGAATTGGATTTTATTACATGTAACAATAAGTGATGATCTTTAAAATTAGTGATTAACACTCATCTTTAAAATTTATCGTCTATTCAAAGGAAAATCTTGTTCATTTTATCATTCTAATTGAACAAATGTACACAATAAAAGTTATCCAGCAGTAGAAACTGGGAGTAGTTTGACATCAAATAAACAAAAAAAATAAAAGAATTTTCATGTTAAGCCCCACACCAATTTCCCTCCATTCGACCGCCAACACCGACCAACGTTACAAACAACACCCCCGGAAAACCCTCACCGCTTGACACATCATTTCACGCAGTCACGCACAAAACACTCTCAATTCCCCCCTCGATTCTCACGTTTACTCACCATCTCCGAATTCCCCTTCTTCTTTAGCTTGATTTTCTCTCCAACCGGAAAACCTCCATAGTTGCTGTTCAAACACCAAATCGATCACCATCAGTTCGAGCAACCTCAATCACAACCGTCAAACTCTTCGGCAGCCCAGATCAGCTGATCGGTATACTATTTTCTGCAACATATATAAAAGTAATATTGAAGCTTTTGTCAACTAAATTTCAGTGCTACCATGTCCTCGATATAAGCAGCCCAGAACCGGGCCATTGACCGGTCGAAAGGATCGGAGGGAAGGATGGAGGGACCATCTGGAAAGGCATCATCAATGTATTGAACAATTACGAGTGATTCACTAATGGGCTTATCGCCATGGAAGAAAATTGGGATCTTCTTGTGAATAGGGTTTGATTTCAGAAGGAGTTCACTTTTCGCCATTGTATTCTCCTGGATGAATTCATACTCTATTGACTTGAGGTTGAGGGCAAATTGAACCCGGTTTACGAATGGGCTAGGACGTGAGCCCAGCAGCTTAATATCATGACTTGCTGTTGCTGCCATTTGCTTGAGCATAAAGCTGAATTCTTCTTTTGATAGATGTGTTGTCTTTAAGATGAATCTAATAAAACTCTGATTTATAGAAGACGTTTTAATCATTTTTCACTTAGGAAAAGTTATACAATAGCTAGCTGAAATTATTGTTGTAACCGTCAGGTTTATATTGTTTTTTTCATTAAAAACAAGAGCTATTCTCTGAACAATACAAAAGTAAAAATAAAAATAAAAATGCTCCATCCGCTAAAAGAATAGTCTATATTACAATTTATAATTTATACTATTTTTAATACGATTCAAAAATTACAGTTAGTTTTGTTTTTTTTTTTTTGAAACAGAAGGAGTTATATTTTCGTCTCAAAATGATGGTTTTGTTTCTTTTTTGTTGTATTATGTTAGGACAATAAACGGAAAAACATTTTTGAAGATGTGCATTTGTTTTCTTATCCAGAGACCTAGCTCAGCGTGGTAACAAAACTAATTAGTTCCATACAGATTCAGTGAACCATGGTAATAAAGATCCAATTACATTTCAAAGTAATGCAGACTAAAATCATCCCAAAAATGTTCATTCTTGTCTTTATTAGCTCGGAAGTTTGGGTGAATGGGATTAGAAAAATGTATACTCTTAGGAACGTGTTCACAAAGTATTCATATTATATATTTGTTATTAGACATTTGATCATCCAGTACGAAGCTAATTATTTATAATCAAATAAACATAATTTTTTTAATTAGATTAACTAGGTTGTTTATCAAACACGACGTGGAAAAATAAATCTAATATTTATGAATAGTAATTTTTTTTTGATATAGATATTATGAATAGTAATTATAATTGGAAAAGAGAAATAAAAAGTCCCGAACCGTGAAGTTGCCCAAACAGTACTCTTTTGGTTTCTCGTGACTTGCACGACCTTCGCTCATTTACCCTTTTTTTTTCTTTTTAATTTATTTTTAACAAGAAGTATCTAGATTCTAAGTTCTGATAATTAATATACTCCAGTTTTATTACAACCCTAAAGTGTTAGGAATGCCCATATCTCACAAAGATGCCGCAATTAATTAACTCATCCATGACTTGCTTGGGTGATTTATCTCTTATTATATAATCTGTAAGCGTTGCAGTTGATTTGAGTTTACTTATTGGTCTTTTATGGGGTTTTCGACATTATAGAAAAAAAAAGTTAAGAAAAGAAAGAAAAAAGATGTCCTAATTCCTTAGCAAAATGCAATGAGCCTAATGATTGAGGATCAGCGCCACTAGTCGAAATGAGCAAAGGGATGAAATTGCTTAGCCTTGCGGGGTTACATGTTATAAAAAGAGGACTATATCACATGAAATCAGTATTTGTAATGAATCATATGCTTCAAAATTTAATGTTATAATTGAGTAATCAGATTCATAGAATGTACACTTTCATCTTTTTCATATTTCCAGCTCTCCAGGTGCAGGAAATAGATAAATTTATTCATTTATCCTCCTCCCTCGAGAACATAACAACCGAGAAACCTTAAATGTCAGTGCAAGTAATGGCCTCAGCGATGCCATTCTTCTGGAGGGTCATCCGCTTATTCTCCTCGGCGTGGAGCCAGAGACGGATGGACAAGTCACCCGGTCGGACTCAATTCGACGTCTCCTAGAATCCATAAATTCCTTATTCACTCTCTACATCCCGTGGAGTGGAAAAATTTGCTCCTTTGATTGCAAACTAGAAATAAATTTGTTGAACTAAAATAGTACAACGAATAGGGCTCTTTTATTTTGTAACTGGAGGATAGGAGAGCCTTTTTTTTTATTACTATTCTTTCTTTTAAGAAACTTTTTATATGTATGAAAATTATTACTTATATTAGTGAATTGAAATTAAATATCAATCATGAAGTTTTACTTAGTAAATGAATTAAGTATCATATATAAATCTTTGGGGAATAATATATCTAGTCAATTGAGTTGTCATGCACAATCGACAACAATAACTAATATCTTTTACATTTTTCGTACTATCTAATAGTTTTGGCTATAAAGCATCATATACATTAGTCTACCATATAAAATTGAAGAAATTAATCAACATTAATTAATTACCTAGTAAAATTTAGATGAATTTTCATATATACAATAGAATTACAATCTAAGTTTCCGATTGTTTTTCTTTATTTTGTGTCTGATTGGCGCTTATGCCTTGCACGAACTTGGCCAGACAACTGTAACAATTTGTAAGATTGTTATTTGGGTGAAAATTTGGTTAACCTTTTTTTTTATTATTTAACCAGTAATAACAGGGACAAAATTAGATTCGAGAAATCGAGAAAAAATTAATTACCCCCTGCTGATCAACGATGGCCCGATTTGGATGTTGCTCCACCAGTTGTTCATCCTCTTCAAGATCAACAATGTCCCGGTTTGGACGTTGCATCCCGGTTAATCCTCCACCATGTACGCTTCTAGTTGTTATAATAAGGTACAAAGACCCTTTAAACGTACGTCACAAGACATCCAAACTCCATATTATCTTAGAATGATGTGCTTGATACATCCCAAAAATTCTACGTGTGCTCGATACGTTCCAATAATTAGATTTTGCCTAACAGAAATGTAAGTCTCAATAAGGACTATATTTTTTGCGATAGTGTATCCAGCAGATGGGAGAACTTTATCCATTGAAAGATATTTTTGGTTTTTTTATTTTTGACAAAAGAGAGAAAATATTGATTCGGGAAAAAAGACTAAGGTAATTCAATTGTTTGCTATCTTGCTATTTATAAAAAAAATCTAGGAAAAAGTCGATCAATAAATTATAATGTAGTATTCATTATCATCATCTCCACACTTCCGATAGATTTCCTTACATTTTTTTTTGTCAAAGACGATATGCATATATAAAGAAAAAATATGCAGGAATTACAACAACCTACGGTTGAGATATTATTAATTCGCCTTACGCGCTACACCTAACCACAGAAGAAAAGATGCACAATCCCAACACTGTGTTCAATCCTAAGCTAAGTTAGATTGACTAAATGGTAGCAACATGTCTAATTAAAGAGTAAGAAAATTCCAACAGCTCAAGAAATATAAAGAGAATAATAATATACTTTTACAAATGAAATCCAAGCTAGTAGCTTAAAAGGGACTAAAGCTCCATATCTAAATTCGAGAGATCCAATCTATGAGGCTAGAAAAACCTAAATCTGTATAGATCCTTCATTTGCAAAATTATTTGAACTCACATTCATCTTCAATTTCTTCAGAGAGTGATGGATCTTCTTATTCTGGATCAGATCTGTTGAAAAGAGTCTGCTAAAAGTACATCTAAAGAAAGAAAAAGATAGCTCCCCAAAACAAAATGAACTGAAACTTCCATACAGAATACCAATACCCCCATAATGGGAAAGCGAAACTTCAACATACACCCCATCCACCATTAATGGTGGATTAGGGAGGAGGAAGAAAATTTTGAATAGAGATTTTTTCAAGAGAAAAGGGAGAGCTTCTTTGTCAGTATTTTAGTTTTTGTTTTTCTACAATTTCGATAGATTTCCTTACCATCTGAACCGTTTCTACATTAAAAAAAACCTCGCTGCTTTTGTTTTTTTTTTTTTTAATATCATGCAAGCAAAAGAGTGCTTTCCGTTTGTTATTTATTTTTATTTTTTTGTGATACTATTTTTTCAGTTTTTGATACACAAATTTAGATATACAAAAATCCATATACACATTCAAAACTAAATATCTTTTTATTCTTCAAATTGGTTGCATGCCTATGCCTACATCTATTTAAGTTCTTGTTAGTTTATTTTGAATTTTATTTTTCTCAATTGTTGGACCCAATCTTTTATATTGAGAAAAGCCTCGTTGCTTTTGTCTTTTTCTTTTATATATCATGAAAGCAAAAAAGTGCATCCGTTTGTTATCTTTTTTTTTGCCCTTTTGCCAATATTGTTTTTTTCTGTTTCTAGCACACAAATTTAGATGTGCATATTTGTCAATGTTATCGGTTTCGTAGTTCTCAGTTTTCGCCATTTGTCTTCTTTCAAAATGGTTGCGTGCGTTTACTTACATCAGTCAAAGTTATTATCCTTTTGTGCAGATTTTTTAAAACTTTTTTTTGTCTGCATATCAACAATGGTGGTATTGTCCTTTTCCTCTAAATTTTATATGTGCATTCACATGAGAACAAATAAGCATTAACCGGTACTCCATCCTTCCCAAAATTATTGTCCAGTTTGATATTTCACTTTTAATATAATTTAAACTAAAACTGAAAACATAAACTGGACAATAATTATGGGATGAAGAGAGTACTTGATTTTCTTTATTTGGTGTTTGAATGGCGCTCATGCCTTGCATGAGCTTCGCCCAACAATTGTAACAATTTGTAAATTTGTTATTGGGGAGAAAATTTGGTTAGAATTTTTTTTATTTAACAAATAATAACAAGGAAAAAATCAGAGTCAAGAAGAATCGAGAAAAATTATTTGCCTCTTGCTGATTAACGATGGCCCGATTTGGATGTTGCGCCACCAGTTCTTCATCCTATTCAAGATCAACATAAATGGCCCAGTTTGGACGCACGTGGCATCCCGGCTAATCCTCCACTAGCCAGTCCACCATATATTCTTTGGATGTTAATCACAAACATTGGACAAAAATTAATACTTCATTCGGCTCACGTTATTATACTTTAAAATTTAATTTATACAATAATTTTTGAACAGAAGAAATATATTTAACAATTTTTTTATTATTATTATTACTTGTATTAAAGAAAAAATTAAAGTCTCACTATTATGTAAGTATCGCAAATACCGTTTTTCATTAGTCCTGGCCTTGCACGACCTTAATTTGCTCATTTTCTCCATCCCCCCCCTCTGAAAGAAGCGTATAGAATAAAAGTTTCAATAATTTACTATAGCTATTATAATACCATAAGGTACAAAGACCCTTAAACGTACGTAACAATGCATCTAAACTCCATATCTTAGAAACATGTCATAAACTCTCATGCATGGGT